AAACCCCAAAACCCTAAACCCGAAGTCCTTCTCTTGGCTGTATCGTCTCAGGCAGTCCCTCGGAAAGCGAGTGGTCACCGCCACCTGGGAGTTTCAGAAAATAGGGGACCGTAGTATAGTACCCTAAATAGTAGGATCCTTATTACAAGGACCCCAAAATAGGGTACCCCTTATTTTCGGAAACTCCCACCTCGCAGCCCATTCGGAGCAGCTTCAGGGCCGTGGCATAGCCAATGTTCACACGGCCCCCGGTCACGATCGCCGTCTTTCCTATACTGAACTTATAGACCCCTAGCAAAAATTATAATTTTAGCTACTTCTTAGGGTTTATAGTAGCCAAAGATTCAAAATTATTTCTAAGTGCCCCTAATAAGTCCTGCGAGGTCGGTTTCCTGCGCCAGCTTCCGGCGGCTCAGAGCCTCGCAGGCACCACAGAGCCGGGGCCGTTCTGCCAGGGTCGCCGAGGGATCGATGCGCTCGCGGCACATGTAGCAGCGGGGTAAGAACTCGTTCCCGCGGCGACTTTCCCAAAGGTCCACGTTCTTCCAACGAAGGCCCGGGAGCCCGTCCTTCTCCATACTTACACTCAGCAGGGTTTCGATAGAGGTTTCCGAGGCGGACTCATCTCCTGAAATGTAGCGGTACTTCCCGGCCACCAAATCACTGTCCGGGATATTCCAGAGCCCCTTGGACTGGATCTCGATACTTTGCCGAATCGACTTCCTCCGATCCTCGTGGTGCTCCATGTACTGGTCCAAGTGCATCCCTAGAATCATGCGCTGCACAAAAGGTAGCTCCACCTCACCGTACCCCAGATCCTTGCTGGCGGAAATAAAGCCATTCAAGGCCGCAATGCGCCGAGCAGTTTCCTCGTCCAAGGTACTGGGCAGATCGCAGCGAGGGTGATGCTTGCAGATCTCGAAGAAGACCGTCCCAAAGCCCCGGCTCTTGTACTTTACAATCCGTGGTCCGGTAGACCATCTGCGCAGTTTCGCTGGCTCCACGAAGTTGTATCCTGTCCTCGGTCGCAATATGGCCAACATGGCCTTTTGCGATAAATCTTCAAGCAAGCACGTGGGTAGTTAAGAGATTCGCTCCCAGCACTGCCGGTACAGGAGTGCATGGAAATATAATGCAGGACTCACAGCAGCTGATTTACTCTGTGGCTTGATCGTACACTGCTGCTGCTGTTACTTCTGCCGTTGTTCTGCATTGGACCCCGCAACACTTCTCGACAAAGCTATGGGCGAGTCGTTCTCCGGCAACTGAGAGCCTGTCTGCAGAGAACGAATTGTCCTTGGTAAGGCAAGAATGTTCTGTCCATCGAAGCCCATGCTGATGCAGTCCAGGTCGAAGAAATTCAGAACCTCGTCCATGCGCTTGTAGAGGATCACCATGACCTGCACAGTTCGAAAGGGCCATCCTCCCCAAATGCTCAGCGCATTGGCCGATCGCAGCAGGCGGATGTCCCGAGAGTAGCCCGAGCTGTTGACTCCGAGTTGGTAGTCAGGCCGGTGTCGTCGCTTCGCTCGTTTCTCCACGTGCTTCTTGCGCATCTCCGTGATGTTCTTGCAGATGGTGTGAACCGTCTGCCTGAGCAACTGCTTGCCTTCCTCCTCCGTCTCGCAACAGATAAAGACGTCAATATCGGAGGATGCAAACCCCCACGATTCCTTGTTGCCCGTAGATCCGCTTGGCAGCCACAGCTGATCTGCTGGCGTGCTGGCCACATCTATGGCATCCTCGTCTGCTGCCAAGAACTCCATTATGTTCTGCAGGACCTGTGGTGATTGGCCAATTCGCAGCCTCTTGAGCAGCAAGAAGCAAGCCACCTCAGAGGCCACGATTTTGTACAAAGGCTGCAACTTCGGGTGCTGCCAAAGCTGTGCACAAGCGAGCACGGCGCCGCCGGCAACGAAGAGCTTCTGCCCGGGTGTTTGTGGAAGGTCGAAGACACCTCGCAAGATACCTTTCGTAAACAAGTCGAAGACCAGCTTGAAGCCACGGAGGTTCGGCATCAAAGAGGAGCTGCCTGGCTCAGCGGGCATGCGCAAGGTGGCCATAGGTGCATTGTCATGAAATGGCTCGACTCGAGGATGCGACTGCTCCGTGCAGGACAGGCTTCTCTCAGTGAGAAGCGACGTGCGGAGCATCCCATCTTCGGCCCCATAGATGGGAACCAGATTGGTCGGTGGAATGTGACCGCTCATGAACGCCGATCGGATGGACCAATCTTGACGCAGGAGAGAGGTGTGGAGGACGTCATCCGTCAAGAGATGGAACCACGCCTCGTGGCGAGCCTGCTCCTTCGCCAGACTTAGACAGTGAATAGGCAGATGCGAGAGCATCGTGGAGAAGGCATGGGCGCTGACGCTTTGGAAATGCTCCTGCAGCTTGTCCCGCAGCAAGCGGCCGTTATCGCCCATCATTAGGAGCGCTGCCTTGCGAGCCTCAAGGTCCACTCGGGTCGCTTCTTCATCCACAGTGGAACGAGAGGCGAAGGTCTTGAAGCCAGCAGCAGCCTCTAAGACTCCTAGCCTCGTCGGGTTCTTCGGAGGGGGACCCGAAGTTTCCGCCGTCCGAGCCTCCCAAAGCTCCACATTCAAGGCCCGAAGCTCTGCTAGATGCCCCTCAGAAGGCCCCGAGCCGAAGGGAAGGGAATCGATGGCTTTGCCCAAGCGCTCCGGGCTCGTCCATGACAGCTGCTTCAGGGAGGTGATGCCCCACTTCTCCAACAAGGCCAAGAGCGAGGAGTCTGCCGACCCCAGCCGTGATTTCAAGTCCTCAGAGACACCCGGGATTTTCTCGCCTTCTGCCGGACCTGCCGCTGCAGCTGGAGCGTCCATGTCGGTGCGTGGGCTGTCTATTGCACTGTGTGACCTTTGCTGTGCTGGAACTGTTCATGGGGATTGCCAGACCACGTCACTAAATCTCTCGGCGATTGGGAAACCCGTGGTCTGCGCTGCCGCACTATACCAAGCCAAGCGCTCCCGGTGCAGCAGTCTATATCCGTGACCGCCAATCTTTCCACTGGATGTTAGGTGTCGTACTGCGACTGAGCAATGTGACCGCATGCTGCCAGGTTGGAGAACCCACTCTTGTGCGAACGTCCGATATCCTATTGCCCAAAACCCTGTAAAAACCTTACGTGGATACAGCGCGAATAAAGAACCACGAAGACATCACATGAAACCCCGTCTTTTTGAAAAGGTGCATTTAGACCCGCTACCGATGCGGCAGCCTCGTCGCTTGCCTTGCCACCGTCAGTGAGGTCCACCCACGTGAAGCGCAGGACTGTTATCGCCAAATCCTCGTCGTCCACACGTTAAATCGGGCATGGTTGGGTTATAGTTACACTTACAGAGTTCTTTGCTCAGAATTCAAGCGAGGAGTTTAGGAATCAGCAGTGTTGCAGATCTGCTGTGGCACACAGCAGGTGGGAACGCAAATAATCCACTGTCTTTTGTTGTTCAACCAATAAGGACAGTTCGCCCATGCACTGCCATCAATTTCGCAGAACTCGGCAAGCATGAGAACGGACATGAGTGCGTGCCGAAAAATCTTCCAGCATTCAACTTAGCTCCAGGCATCTGCTTTTGCACCACGCCGCGCGGCTTGAACATCCTGCAAGTGGTCCGACACCATCGGCCATGGACGCCAAAGCAACTGCACATTCGAGTGCTCGTCGACACGAACGGGTGCTCTTGGAGCATGGATGCCGGGCGGCCTGCATCAGCGCCTGCTCCGGAGATTGATGCCTTTCTCAGGCTGTCAAAACATCGGCAGAGCCCAAGTGCAATTCCAGTGCCAAGCAGTTTCTGCCAAACCGGGCTAGATACTACTGTACACTAAACCCGCCACAGGGCCCGCGCGCGACAACAGCTGCCAGGGCAGACTTGGCAGCCTGTGGAGCAAATGGTCTGGACAAAATTCAGCCTGCGCAATGTATAGTACACTTGCCTGCATGCACATGTACCTGAAATACAATGCATACGTACCTGACACATGATTCTACGATCACGAGCGCATGCATCCATGCACGCTGTGGCAGACAAAGGTTCACACAGGCAAGCAGACACAGACATTCATGCTTCCGCTGCAGAACGACACCTTCTCTTCTTCTGCAATCGCCCAGAAGGATTCGGATGCCAGTATAATGAGAGCATCGTTTGCCCAGTCCTCGCAATGCAGCTCGCGACAGTAGGAACAGCGTTTACTAGTGTCATGAAACCCATCGATGCCACCGAAGTTGGTAATGTTTTGTGCAGTGCCATTGCCCTCACCAGCCTCAGTCTTCGCAGCACGACTGTGCCGCTTTTTGCTACTGCTGCTATTCAACAGGTCGTTCTACCCCGCGGACCCAGCCAGAACCCAAGGCCCTAGGCCATGTACCAACCCAGTAGTCCAGCTGACAGACATCCAACGTCACTGCCAGGCCAGCAGCCGACCCACCCTGGCGTGCGACCCGTTCTCCACTTACGAAGTCTGCTCGCACGAGATGTCCGATCGTTGAGTTGGTGCACTCCGGGGTGTTGCTCTGGACTCGCGGTTCCTATGCCGTCTGCTCTTCTGCTCGGAGATTTAGGTCCAGGTTTAGGGCATGGGAGCTTGGGTCTATTCCAGGCCACAGTGGCTTCGCAACCAAAACAACACCGGTTGCGAACCAGGAAGGACAGACTTGGATGCTTCGATGTCGATGTTGCTGAGATTGGAGTGGAGACCAGCCGCTCCGGCTAGATAGCGGGAACAAACGACCCCCTGTTTCCATCGACACGTGAAGACGTCCGGCCTTTTCGCTGTAGGCATGCGTGCCGAAGCCTTTAGGCGCAGGCCTCGCCACGTCGCAGGTCTCAGGTTTGAGATCTCCCGAGCAAACTCTGATGCAACCTATTTAGGGCCTTTTGGGGATCTACTTAGGGCCTTTTCGGGATCTATTTAGGGCCTTTTTGGGATCAGACTAAGATCCCCGCCCACGTGCCCCTGGCATGGAGGGGAAGTTGATGGACGGACCTTGGATGCCATTCGCGACTCAAAGGATCAGCACACCCCAAAAGACGGCGTCTGTCCCCTAACCCCCCCTAATCCTAAACTCGAAACCCCAAGCCCTAAACCCTAAATCTCTCGCAAGCCCTGGACAAAAAGCAGCAAAGGACCCCCAGCCTTTCAGGCCGTGCTCGAAGACCTTCAAGCTGTCCTGGATCGCTTGAGGCTTCTTGACCGGATCAGCCGTCAGTCTGCATTGTCTCTTGTCAAACGCAGGGAGTAGCCCCAAACCCTACAAAAACCCTAAACTAACAAATCTAAAAATCTAAGGAGCTCTGCATTGGAAGTTTATGGCTCCTGTGCAGGCTTCTCCTCGCCGCTAGGCCCGGCAGCACCTTGCAAGGACGACACAGGGAGCAGAAGCGGCCCGGCGTGGGACTGCGCCAGAAGCACGTATACGAGACTTGCAAAATAGGCCTATGACGCGTGTGTGATTGTTTGGGCGTTGCAGCAGCAGCGAAGCTTGAACTGCTCACTAATCGCAAGCCTTGGGAGCCTTTCTCTCGCCTACAACAGGACTCTGTGCGAACCGATCCAAGAGTATGTGCTGAGGCACTTAAGCCGAGCTTTTGCAAGCATCGCAACTACCCGCGGACAACCATCACGTCCTCTCCGAGAATGCGGCCTAGACGTGAAGTGATTTGGCCGTCCTCGGTGGACTCAAATACGCCCACTTTGGCTAAGAGGGCATTGGCTAGCTGGTTTGTCAGATGGTTCGAGGCGCTTACCTTTGCCTCGTGGAGTGCGTAGCTCCCAGCCTCGAACAAAGCTCTCAGGCTTGTAAACCCGAAGCCGCAGCCTCCCAGGAACTCCCTAAAGCCTAAACCCTTTTTGCATCAGGACTTGTGCAATCGCCTGAATGTCCGAGCCCACAGAAGTTCAGCTCTCACGACTGCGCTTCCATACCGATCAGGAAAACTTTTCCTAAACCCTAAACCTTGAAACCTAAACCCTAAACCCTAAACCTTGAAACCTAAACCCTAAACCTTAAACCCTAAACCTTGAAACCTAAACCCTAAACTCGCTAAACCTTAAACCCTAAACCCAGGCACCGAAACCTCTGGGCCGCCGGGCCCGAGCCACCACCAAGCCCCGGCCGGACCCGGCGTCGCCGAGCACCGCTGCAGCCCTGGTGGCGAAAGCCAGACTTCACAGAAGTGTGCCGAGATCAAGAATGGTTCTCACAACCGTTATCAGATGTGAATGACAGTAAGATTTTTGGTCACGTACTACCTGGAAAAAATCAGAACGGACAAACTGGCAATGGTAGTAGCGGCAAGAAAATGAGCGAAAGAAGCCGTCGGCTGACGCTAGCACGGATTCAAGGACTTCCTCACGGAGTCACTAGACAAGGAAGATAGCTGACAGGTGGCCTGACCAAAAAGTGGACGAAACCAAATGGCTATTTGACGTCTGAGGCTTAAGGGAATCCCACAGACCGTCGAGACTCTACGACACACTAGCCCCACTAAGATGCAGTCTTCTCAAGACACGCAGACAAGGACTTCCAAAAAGGCTGGAGAAGCACAGCAGGCCCATCCCTTAGCTCCCAGCATGCCGTTCTTGTCGGGGCCGAATACCAACACGCAGCAGGCCTTGATCCGAGAGGAAGTATAGGACCAAGGAACTCTAACGACGTAACAAGTCACAACTGTTACCATCAACACAAGTTGAGCCAAACGAAGGACCAATGAATGATGCTAGCTTGCTGGTAGCAGCAGAAAGACGAGCAGGGCGACGTGGAGTGCCATGGTGCGCTACTGAATACTCATGCTCTGCTGTGCTGAGTGCCGGGCACTCGTTTCTGCTGACAGCCACAGCTTCGCGGAATTGTCGCTCAATCGTTGGGCCTGTGTTCTCTGAGGCCGCAGGCTCTCATCGGGCCGGAAAGGGTGCCGGATTCCTACGTCTGCACATGATGCCAAGGTCCAAGGGCAGCACATACTGCAGGAAGCCGTGCTGGGTCCTCTGGAACCCTGCAAGCATAGCTGCCTCGAGCAGAGAGGGAGGAAGACGTGAACACTGCACGATCAAGACTGCTATGGCGCTATGCATTGCAGCGCACTGATACCATCATGCAACCATCCACCCAGACTTGATGAGTTCTGGCGCAACGGCCAAAGCCGTGCAGCATCTGCTCGTGAAGAGCATTGCCGGTTCGGGTCTTCGCATTTCTACGCGTTACTCCTACATCTACGACGATCGCACAAGAGCCATAGCCGCAAACATGACGATGAAGATGATCATGATGATCAAGATGGTGATTGCTGTCATGATTATTTCACTATAGCTGTTACGGGGTTTTGTGATGATGATGATGGTGATGGTGATGATGGTGATGACGATGATGAGCATGGTAATGATGATGACGATGATTGTGATTCATGTTTATCTGCTGTTCGTGTTGTTATGTTGGCTATTGTTCTTCTTCATCCTTCGAATTTAATAAGGACTGTTATTGTCCTTATTATCAATATTAGTATGCACATCGGTAGTTGTACTCATGTTCATAAAGCTATGGTGATGACGAAATGATGATGGTGAAGGTGATGGTGATGATGATAATTCAGTAGTATGAGTATTCATATTATGGCCACGATGTATGCTTAGCACTAGTTGTAGTATTAATATGACTATGGTGATAACTGTTGTTACTACTGATTGTTGCGATCATTATGTACACCCAGGAATCGAGTATGTGGTGGGCAGCTAGCTGCTGAACCTAAAGACACACTGCCGGGATCGCGCTCACAGTCCTACTGCAAAGGGCTGGGAGTCTAGTTGTGGCCCGAATTCCGGTCACCTCTCGTTGACCAGTGAAACTTGAGTTTACAAAAAGTTGAGCAGACTTCAAAATCCACATGATTGAACTATTTGCTGATCTGCTGCTCAACTCGTAAGCCCCAACCCCAAACCTTGAACCCTAACCCCTTACCCTCAACCCCTAAACCCTAAACCCTGAACCCTGACCGGCCCTAAACACTCGCTATCATCTGTATTTAAGCCTTATTTCATTCATTGCAAAATAGCCCTTTCGGGTGCCATTTTGCAACGAATCCGGCCCCCTCCTCGGCCCTCCCCCCCTTCCGCGGGCCATTTTATTGCAATGAAGGGCAGGCCATATTGCAACGAACTCCCGCCCGATTCATTGCAAAATGATTTTCTGACGTTAAGGTTTACATAGGATTTAGGGCTCAGGGCTGTGGGCTAGCTTTAGGGTTTAGGATATAGGGTTCAAGGCTGTGGGCTGGCTTTGGGGGTTTAGGATTTAGGGCTCAGGGCAGTGGGGATTTCAGCCTCCAAGATTTTATTTAATATACTGGTTTCCAACTGTTATGGGAATCTTGGGTGGGTGGGATGATTTCCGGCGTTGAGTTCGAATAGGAACTGCTCGATCCGGAGCTGCTGACCCCCAAACCCTAAATCCTAAATCCTGAGCCCTAAACCCTGAACCCTAAACCCTACAGTACCCCCTAAACCCTAAACCCCTCAACCCTAAACCCTAAACCCTGAACCCTAAAACCCTAAACCCCTAAACCCCCTAAAACCCTAAACCCGTAAACCCTAAACCCCTAATCCCAAAAACCCAAACCCCTGCACCAACAAACCCGAAAGGAACACGTCGCCAGGCCTGGGCTCCACGTCGACCGCCCTGTTCTCGGCCTTGGAAGCTCGTGCCGAGGTCCTGCGTCTCGTGTGGCTGAAGAGAAACAGGAACTTAGCCCGATATAACATACGAGATATAGTATGTGTATATATATATATACACATATACATATATATATATATTTTTTTTTTCGGTCAGGCGCAATGTCGGAACGACGTGCCTATTGCGTTGTGAATTCAAGAGTGAAACAGGAAGACCCTGGGATGC